TACGCCTCGGCCGGCGCAGGGGGCGGAACCACGCATGCGCGGCGCTCCCGGGCAGGGAAAGTCCTCGACTTACGACCGGTTGGGTAGTCCTCGACTTACGACCGGTTTAGTCCTCGACTTACGACCGGTTTAGTCCTCGACTTACGACCGGTTGGGGTCGCGGCATTAAAAAGGTTGAGAACCACTGATCTAGTCCAACCCCCTGCTCATGATGACCCTCTTTACGACCGTCAGGGCTTATGACTGCAATTGTCAGGCTCAATTACAGTCCTAAATCAAAGACTACCTGAAGACAGATTTTTAATCACTGTTATTTTGAAATTTTATAGCAAACTTTACTATGCCTGCTTTTCTTTTCTTTTTCGCTCTTCTAACCTCTTCCCTCTTCTCTATTTTTTCCTCTGTCCGCCCTCTGTGAAATTCATCAAATGTAAATAATAATGTTTTGCTTTTTGTTTTTCTCAGGCCTTTTAGTCCTCTATATTTCCATAGCTGTGACCTATTTTAAATGTAGTCTTATTTCTGTAATACTTTCTATGGTAAAACTTCCTGTTTTAGCCACTGCCGTTTAACTGGCTGCTTTATTATGCTCCTTTTTGCTTTGATTTATACAGATTTGGGTTTTATTTGTGTTTTTACTGTGCATTGTTCTGAGGGCTATTAACTAGAAGACAAACACTGCCTCGGAAAGAAGATGATGGGAGATCTATGTTTGCAACACTGAACTATCTCAGGTCCCAACAGATGTTTAAACCAGTCAGGGTTTTATTTCTAAATCCTGTAAATATTTAGCACTTACTAGCTGAAGATACCATCAACAGAAGCCGTGGTCAAGTGCAGGATGTTCTTTTATCACCCAGGCAAAGCTTTTTTTTTTTTATTTAAAGTCCCATGTTTGAATTTTTACCTCTTTTATATATTAAACTCCATGTACATAACCGAGTTTTGCTTATGGGAAATATCGAAATGTCAACCATTGTTTCTGTTAAAGGTCTTAACGATATCACAGTTTTTGGACTAGTAATGAAACACGTCGTTTGCTGTCGTTTGTAATGCATCTCATTAAATGCGTTAATAGCATACGTTTTACTAAAAGGTCAGGCTTACTGTTGCTAGGACTTTGCCTTTTAAACCAAAAAGGGTGGGAGGGGGGGAAAGGCTTGGTTTAAAGAAGCAGCAAGCTGTGCAGCACAAAACATGTCACCTGAAGCACAAAACAAACACTGAAGACCCGTTTCAGTTACAGATAGTCCTCGACTTGCAACCATTCGCTTAGCGACCGTTTGACGTTACGACGGCACTGAAAAAAGTGACTTATGACTGCTTTTCACACTGTTAGAGCATGCACAGTCTTATTACGCTGAGATAACCCAGGAGTAAACACAGTAAACAGTGATCTATATTAAATGGTGGTTTATCATACACTATCTACAATATCATACACCAGGGACAATATACTATACATGTGTTAATACAGCCATCTCCAACACAGAGCAGTTACAGCAGGAAACAGAAGAGAGAGAGAGAGCACAATATGCAGTCTTCCCTTTTATACAAAGCTCTTAAAGGGATACAGACCCTGCTTGCTCTTAAAGGGACACAGACCCTGCTGAGTCATTCCCATCATTACATCATACACCTCACATTATACAAGCTGGTTAGCTGTTAAATTATTACCTTGACACTTACAACCATTGTAGCATCCCCATGGTCACGTGATCAAAATGCAGACCCTTGGCAATTGACTCGTATTTATGACAGTTGCAGTGTCCCAGGGTCATGTGATCCCCTTTGGAGACCTTCTGATGAGCAAAGAAAATGCGGAAGCCGGATTTGCTTAACGACCGTATAACAATTTAACAACTGCAGTGATTCACTTAGCAACGGTGGCCAGAAAGGTCGTAAAATGGGGCAAAACTTAACTGTCTTGCTTAGCAACAGAAATTTTGGATTCAATTGTGGTCATAAGTCAAGAACTTACCTGCATGAATGGAGTGAATTAACATCACAATCTGTCACCCCCCAAAAAATCATGAAATCTAGTTGCCTTGACATCAAACCAAATTCTACCATAAGCCAGACATGTCATGGAAAGATCTACCTGGACTGACAATAAATTTTCTGGAAAACTCAAAAGCTTATCTGATTTGGAAGAAAGGTAATCCTTGACATACAAATGGAGCCTGCCCATTCCAGTTGCATGTCACGATGGGTCATAAAACAGGTCAGGCATGTTGTTGTTTTTCTGACAGTCATTAAGTGAAAGCTACGGTGGGTTAAGCAAACCAATGATTCACAATGGGTGTGGTTTTGCCAAAACCCAGAAGGGCTGGTTTTCAGCAAACTGTCATAAAATGTGATCACGTGACCGTGGGATGCTGCAAACGGCTGTAAATGCTAGTTCAGTGGTGGCGAACCTATGGCACGGGTGCCAGAGGCGGCACTCAGAGCCCTCTCTGTGGGCACGCGGGCCATCACCCCAGTCCTAGGCCTTCAGCTGGGTTTTGCTTTAGGTCTGCACCGCCGTGTGCAAAAAAAAAAAGGTTCAATCAATCAGTCAATTTCAACTTCTTGCGGGAAAAGAAAATCTTGCAAAATTGGGGATTGAACTTTTTAGTCCCACCCAGTCTGCCGTTACCAACGCAGCCACACCCACCCAATGGGCTACGCCCACCCAATGGGCCACGCCCACCCGGCACCCAACGATACATAAGTGGGTTTTGGGTTGCAGTTTGGGCACTCGGTCTCTAAAAGGTTCGCCATCACTGTACTAGTTGGTTGCTAAGTGCCTAAATGTCAGGTCCCCAAATCCTTATTGTCTCCCTTCCATCTGTCTATTCTCTTGCTTTGCTTTGGGGCCTGCCATTTAGTTGGGGGGAGGGAAAATGTTTTGCTTTCACTTGGGATAACTTTCTGCTTTCCTTCTTCCACCTCTATCCACTTGAGAAAGGAATGTGTCTCCCTTATCAGGGAGACGGTAGGAAAGCTGGAGAAGACCTTGAGATGTGCACCAACTGTGCCAGTTACCGGCTCATTGTGCCACCTATGGATTGGCTGGATTTCAAATGGACATTATATTATGACTTTGGTGGGGGAAGGAATATTGCTGATTTAATTATATCGTTCAAGCGGGATTTTCCCCAGATCTCGCCTTGACTTCCCTACTGTCACTGACCCCTAATAAAAGTTTCCTTTTGAGACAATGCCCGTTTCAAGAGTTCTGCTTTCTTGGGTGGTTAGCTGAGATGGGTCCTTACACTGAAGCTCAATTATGTATATATATATTTTATTTTGCGGTCACAGACCAAAATGCAAGTGCAACAAAAAGAACACAAGAAAAATATAATCAAGCTCAATTATGTGACTGCAGAGGGGGCCCAACTATCAAAACTTTGAAGTCCACTTTCTGGGGTCAGTCGTAACTTCAAATGGTCGCTAAGTGACCAGTCATAAGTCGAGGACAATTGTACTTATCGGTATGTCCAGCTTTACGATTCTCTTATACCACCCCATTATTGTTCCTTTCTCCCCTCTCCACAACTGACTGCTTAGCTCTTGATTACCCACTTGAATCACAAACAAAACAACAAGAGTTTTCCCAGTAGACAATTCAGCCAGCAATTGGCGAGAAGAGGCAAAAATCAAAGGCAAGACCTTAAAAAGTAGAATCGGTTTCTAAAGAAATGTCATACCTGGAAAGGTGGACAAGCAGGTTTCCTAATGGAGATAAGTGTGATTCTACACCAATTCACAATGTCTCTTGTTAATTAAATTATTTATTTTTGTTAATTTATACCCCGCCTTTATTACTTATACAAATGAGTCAAAGCGGCGAACACATCCAACACATCTTCCTCTTCCTGTTTTCTGCACAACGACAACTCTGTGAGGTGGGTTGGGCTGAGAGACAGTGACTGGCCCAAAACCATGCAGCTAACTTTTACAACTGAGGAGGAACCGGAACTCACAGTCTTCTACTTTTTAGCCTAGTACAGACATATCAAGCTCGCGACGTCACGTGACGTCGCGCAACGTATTGGGACGGTTTTGCCATTGCCGGCAATGGGGTGGGCGCGGCTTCCAGATGACGCATCCAGCCCATGGGCCGGCATTTTGACACCCTTGGCCTAGTACCTTAACCACGAGACCAGTGGTGGTGAACCTATGGCATGCGTGCCAGAGGCAGCACTCAGAGCCTTCTTTGTGGGCACGTGCGCCATCACCCCAGTCCCACCTCTACCCGCGGCCCCCTCACCAGCAGCCCCCCTGGAGAGTCGCCCCCGAGCGTGGCCTGCGTGGAGCAGCATAGCCAAGGACATGGCAGCCGAGCAGCAGGAACAAGACTCCGCCCTCGTGCCCCGTCGTGCGCAGTTGATGCTGCAGGGCATGGGCGGAGAGCATGGCTGCCATGGCGCTGCTGGGCCACCTGGGCGATCTGCGGTGGGCTGTGGAGGCAGTGAGTGGCCCTGTGGGCGGGGCGGAGCCAGTTTTTGGGCACTCGGTCTCTAAAAGGTTCGCCATCACTGCACTAGACCAATTATATAGAGTAAGCAGACCTAGGAATGGATGTTTAATTTTGTGTAATCAATACACAGAGAGGACTGTGGTCCCCATTTTTTTTCTTTTTTCTCTATTAAGTATGTAAAATGCCAGTAGCATCATAAGGAAACCCATAATATATTAACTATATTGTCAATAATATTAAAGCACATAATCACAGATAGATCCTTACTGTTCTTGAGCACGTTAGAAAATTCCTGTCCGCCTCTCTTCTTGAACTCAGAGAAAGTATCTGGCTGTGGAATTTGGTTGGCTATTAAGAGAGCCTTCTGCAGCTTGATTCGGCTTTCCAGGAGCTGATCCCACAGGGCTTTGGGAGAAATAAAGAAAGAGAGGATGAGGGGGGAGAGAAAAACACAAAACTTTATTCATTTGTTGTAGCTGTAATTTTAAATAGAGCAGACTCATCACGGAAAGGAACGGGTTT